CATTTATAGCACTGGATCCCATCTTGATAAGTCTGATGAAAATAAAATATCAAAAAAAGCCTGGCAGCAGGGCCAGGGGAATGAGGAGATAAAAACTAAATGACCCCAAATGCTCACAGCCATCCTCAGAGTTGCTGTTGGGTTCAGGATAATTGATTTGAATGCAGATAATTCCCAATTTTCCCCCCCCCCAAAGGACTCAATTTTGGCCAAAGAAAAAGCGGCTGAGTGCAAATTAGAGATGTCAGTCAAGATGAAGTCTTCACATGTGGCTTTCTCTGGGTTTCCAGAGCGTCTCCTCCTCAGCCAGGCACCGAGCTCAGCCAGCAGCTGCAATCCTGGAATCAGAAGGAATTTCTGGTTGCCAGAGCTGTATTTTTTTTTTTTTAATCAGGATTTTAATAAGGGCGAGATGCTGATCTTGGGTGCTTGCTCAGGGAGGCTGTCACTCCAAATGAAGTTTGTTCAGGTAATCAGAGCAGGGAAATCTTGCCGTGAGACAGCTCCAGGCTGGAGTTTTGTGTGCTCTGTGCTGGGTTCTGATCTCCCCAGGCTCGCTGCACACGGCGATTTTCCAACCTTCCCTCGACTCATCCGTGGCACCTGGAGGAGGGTTTGGAGCTGCAGCTCTGGCACCAGCCCTTGGAGCTTTCCAGCAGCCAGGAACCCAGCCTTGACTAATGGAAGCTGGAGTCTGAACGAGGATTTCTCCCCTGGATGATTCTTTTTGCTCTTTGTCATCTGACACTGAAGCAAAAAAAAAAAAACCGTCCCGCTCTCGAGTCGGCTGCAGCCAAGAACTTGCAAGGATTTTGGCAGAGCTCAAAGAAAAGAGGGTTCATGATGAAAACTTCTGGACACAATAAAAGAAATGGTTCTGTGCAAGCTCTGAAGTGACCCCAGAAAAAGCAGTGTAAACCTGCTGCCTCCCTGGAGCTCCGAGGAGGTCTGAGTTAATTGCCAGCGTCTTTAATCTCCATTTCCCTCGTGATTTGCACTCTGGAGTTTTAGATTGATTCTGATTAGCTTGCCTAGAAGATCTGATTCTGTCCCCAATTACTCTCCTATAAATCAGACGAGCATCTTTATTACAGCTGATGAAATTACTGTGGCATGAGCAGAGCAGGGGGATCAGAATCAGTGAAGACCTAAAAAAATTAAATCTGATTGGGTTTTGTCCACGCTCATCCTGCTCCTGTGACTCAGGTGCTCAGGGAGTGTTCAAGCCGAGCATCAGTGAAATCAAAACCCGTCTGTGTGTCCCCCTGAGGGAGTTTTCTGTTAAATTCTTACAGTGAGGGGAGAGAGAATTGGACAAAACTGAGAGACTTACTGGTATTAATGGGGGATAAATTATTTATCCCAAGGCTGGGGAAGGAGTAAAGAACTGGAGGAGCAGGGAGGGACCTGAGCATCACCCAGGAGCTGAGTGGGGTGAGAGGACAGCCCTGTTCTCCTGGCAGGGCAGGAATCTTTTCCCAGGTCCCTCCTCTGCCCCAGGTGTGGAGCAGGAGCAGCACCTCCAGCACACCCTGCCAATCACCTTAATTGAGTCTGCCATCCTGCCGCTGCTGATTTTCCTGTGCCTTGCACATCTTTCCCATCAGAGTGGAATTAGGAGCGAGTTCTCACCCTCTTATCTCGCTGATGGATAATTGTGGGTTTGCCTTGGTGGGAGCCGTGGAACTGGAGCCTTTGGAGAGGCTCTTTAATGTGAGCAGGCAGGGTTTGAGCTGCTTGAATTGCTGAGAAGGGATTGCCCGGATTGGGAAGCACCAGGAAGGTGCTCCAGAGGTTTGGGAGACATCCCTGGAGGGCTTGGAGGGACAGTTAGTGGATTAATCAGAGTGGGGATGGAGAAATTACTTTCTCCTCAGTGGAGTAAGCAAAGCAGTGCTGAAAACACATCCCGGAGCTCCTGGGGGGCACGGGAGAGCTGCTGGTTCTCCCTCATGGAATCCCACAGGGCTTTGGGCTGGGAAAATCCCCTCCAGTTTGGACAGGGACACCTTCCACTCCCCCAGGCTGCTCCAAGCCCGTCCAAGCTGGCCTGGAACACTTCCAGGGATGGAGCTCGGCTGGTCCGAGGAGACACTGCTGGGATCAAAGCAGCAAACCTTGAGCAGGTGCCCCGGTTTGGCTTCCAAAACCAGTTAAAAGCTTTAACTGGGGGTTTATGAAGCAGCTGTTGGCAAGTCCTGGTGCTCTGGTTCCCATTTCCACCAAGGTCTTGCTGGGGATGTGCATTTTCCCTTGGATCAGGGAAAAATGACCTTGGCAAGTCCTTGGAATCCCGCAGGGGTGAGGCTGGAAGGAGCCCAGCCCTTGCAGGTGGCTGTGCACGTGTTGTCCTGCATTTCCCCAGAGCCTTGGGATTAAAATCACCACTGGATGTCTGGGAGCCTCCTCTTTTCCAGGAGGGCTGCTGCTGCTCCTGGATCCTGGCAGGGCAGGAATCCTCCCTGGGAGCCCAGGAATGAATCCCCGACGGGGCAAACACCAGGACGAACCCCTGAGGTCTCGTTGTCCCTCCTGCATCCCCCTGCTTTACAAATGAGCAGCAAATAACGCAAATTCTGATTACACCTGGAATATTCAGAGAGCTGGATGAGCATTTTCACCCTCCAGAGGAGGAACAGAGGGTGTTGATCGATTCTTGTGGGAAATGCTGCCTCATGCAACAAAAACATCCCTCCAAGGCTTGGTGGGCCCTCAGTGCTGGCTCAGAAGCTCTCAGGTGATTCTTTTTTTTTTTTTTCTTTTAATGAGTTTAATCCATTGGATTTGAGGATTTCCAGTTAAATCCAAATCCAGTGTAGAGGTGCATCCCATATTTTTGGGGTCCCTGAGCTGGTTTTTCATCCCTCAGTGGGAAAGGCTGGAGAACCTTCTGTGCATCCAGCGGGAAGGGAGGGAGGGAACCTGGGCAGCACAAAGGAAATAATTCCTGGGTAAGGAATTATTTGGGATTTGGTGTCACCTCCTGGCCCGATCCCTCTGTTCCCCTACAGGCTGTGGGAGGCTCAGCTGTGCACGGAGCCCTGACAGAGCAGGGACCTGCCCCAAAAGGACTTTGCTCCCCAGAAATGTGCTCAGGGAGGGGCAGGAAAGGGCAGGAGGGGTTTGATTGCTTGTCTGTTCCTCATGGATGAACAGCCAGGCAGTTTAACCCCTTCCCACTGGGAACAACAGCACCACGGGGAAAATGGGGATAAAAAAACTGCCAAAATCCCTGGGGTTAATGGTGAGAAAAGGATTCTCTGGGGTTTTGTTAAAGCTGCTCGTGGCAGTAGAAGGGGCAGTGGTTTTAAGCTGGCAGAGGGCAGGGTTAGATGGGATTTTGGGGGAGAAATTCTTAATTGTGAGGATGGAATGAAATTCCCAGAGAAGCTGTGGCTGCTCCAGTGTCCCAGGCCAGGCTGGGACAGTCAGAGGTGTCCCTGCCACGGCAGGGGTGGGATGGATGGGCTCTGAGGTCCTTCCCAAGCTGAACGACTCCGGAATTCTGGAATTCCGGGAAGCAAAGCTTGGCTGATCAGCGAGGGTGGGAGGTGGAAGAGCAGCTGGTGGATGTGAGGAGGAGCAGCAGGGGTGGGGAGCAGTTTGTAAAAGCAGCCAAAGGTGTCAGACCTGATCCCCACGAGCCTTCAACAGCTGCAGAGACAAATTTCACAAATGTTCTCCTCCTCGGCAGATGAGCTTGGCTGCTTTTAGCTGTGCTGCCTCCTCACGCAGTGGGGTGAACCTCCACGAGCTTCCCCACGGGAGGAAGCTCGGAATCTTGCTGGGAAAACATCAGCATTTGGAACTGAGGGTGAGAAATCCCAAAGAGGCAGCAGCAGCCCCGAGCTGCTCTGTGGGTTTGATGGTTTTGGGAATGTGTGGTCATGTCCTGAAGATCCTTATCCAGGAGTTTCCTTCTGTTCCTTGGGTAAAAAAAAAACCCCAAGGAATTCATGGATTCGTGCCTGAGTTCCCTGCGAGGATTTATTCACTGCTTCAGGGTTTATGGATCAGCTTTTTTGGGATGCACCAGGCAGGAAATCCCCTACACCCACGAGGTCTCTTCCCTCAGCACTTCCTTCCCTGCAAACACGGTTTAAATCAGGAATGATGCCCCTGGAATTGGGGCAGGAGCAGTTGTGGGGTTTGCCAATTCCTTCCCTGCAAACACGGTTTAAATCAGGAATGATGCCCCTGGAATTGGGGCAGGAGCAGTTGTGGGGTTTGCCAAGACCCCCCAGGCTCACGTGGGGTGGTGAGTGGGGGATGCCACCGGGATTGGGTTCAGACAGGAGCTCGGATTCTGATGGAAATTGCAATTCCAGCCTGGAATTTCGGCTCTAGTAGCCAGCCAGCACTGGAAGTTTGGAGTATTTTATCTAAATAAAAAGTGTAAATTACGTGGCAGAGCTCGCTTTGCTCTGCACACAGCCTGGGTGGTGTTAATTAAACCCTCAGCTGCTTTTTTTTAGTGGAAGGAAGGCTGAGAAAACGAGCCTTAAATCAAGTCTACATTTAATTAAAGCCTCTCTTCCATTCAGATGCTCTCCCACTATGATAGTGGTGGTGCAGTTGGAATGCTGAGCCAGGAGGAACCAACAAGGAAATTGGGTTTGCAGAAACAAAATGAAGTTTAAAATGTGGGAATTTTCTGGGTTACACTACAAAACCAGCAGCTTTAGGGAAAACTCGGGATCTCTGCAGGGAAAGAGGGTTTTTTTGGGGGGGATTTTAATCCCTCCTTGCAATTTCTTTGCCTCAGAACCAGTGTTTCGGGCGATTTATGTGAATGTTTCATGTTTTAATAGTACCAGATTCCTGTAGGAACCTCAGGCCAGTCCTTTGGCCACATTCCTTCTCTCTCAAACAAACTTGGGATGGATCCCAAGAGTTTCTGTGGGGGGGGTGGGTACCTGGCACTGGGGGAAAATTGATATTTAACAACTTTTGGGGTGACTTCTTTTGTGCTCACACTCTTTTTCTCTGTCTCCCCGTAGGTGATAACCCTGGAAGGATGGGTGGACATCATGTATTATGTGATGGACGCACACTCTTTTTACAATTTTATATATTTTATATTGCTTATCATAGTAAGTATGACGTGGCAGATTCTCCTATTCCTTCTGCTTGGGGGGTGAAGTTGTTCCCTGGCTTTTTCCACAGGGAAGAACCAGGTAGGATTCAGGATTCAGGGCTTTCCCTCCCTCTTCCCCTCCCACTCTTGGTCTTGTCACCTGGATGTGTCTGTGCCCAAAAATCCAGGTTTTCCCTCCTTTAACTTCCTCAATGTGCCAGAGGGAGCCTCATTTCTTTAGAGAGCCCTCAAACCTTTTAATTTCACCTATTATAATTTAATAATTACTATTATTAAATAGTAATAACTATTTAATAATTATATTTATTATAATTTAATTTAATAATAATTACTATTTATAATTAGAATATAAAATATTTCTATTATAATTATAAATGTTATATGTTGTTTTTATAAATTATTTATAATAACAGTTTAATAATTATATTTCTTATACTTTAATAATAATAATGTTATTATTATTGTTATTATTGTTATTATTAAATAATAATAATAATAATAATAATAATAATAATAATAATAATAATAATAATAATAATAATAATAATAATAACTCTCATAGCACCAGTGCACCTCTCTGAGCTCCCACATTCCTAAAAACAAAATATCACCCACTGGAGGTGCTGGGGGTTGTTTCCAGAAGCTGCCAATCCATCTCCACAAGGTCCTGGTTTTCCAAAGGGCACAACCTCCTCTGGGAAGTGGAAAATTGAAATATTTAAGGCAGGAGGGGAAGATACCACGAAGATTTCAGGCAGGACATGGGATGGAGGTGTTTAAAAGTGATTTTGTGACTGGACAGTCGTTCCAGGTAACCCTGTCCCGGTCAGGGTGGGTTTGGAGGCCTTGGGAAGTTCAAGCAGTTCCCAGCGGTGGGAAAAGCTGGATGGGAGCAGGGTGAGTGCCCCGGAGCAGTCGGGGATGGCTGAGCTGGAGCAATGGGCCAAGAGCACAGATCGACGCTCCACTGCCCTGAGCTGTTCTCCCCAAGTGCATCCGTGTGGAAAAGCCAGGAGGTGACTCCTGCCCAGGTCACCTGGAGCTGCGAAAGGCACCTCGGCTGCCTCTCTGGCATTTCCCTTTGGCTGATTTAGGAAAAAGCACTTTGTGGGCTCCACAGCTTGAGGGGAGGATGCAGATTTAGGTCACGTCACATTCTTGTCCCTGGGACTTCGTTTTGGGAACCTGGTGTCACCCAAGAACGCATCAGCTCACCCAGAGACTGAATCAGCCCCTCGGGAGCACTGAGTGTCCTGGAGGTGCTTTTGTGGGTCAGGGAGCCACAGGAGCACCAGGTCACAGGTCCACAGGCCCTGACTGTACCCCCAAAATTATTTCACACTCTTTTGGGGTGTGAAATGATTAAAGAAGAGAGAGAATGTTTCAAACAAGTACAAATTGGACTTGAAATCATCTTGCCCTGCAGGTTGGCCGAATTTCAGGAGAAAGTTCTTCACTGGAAGAGTGACTGGGCACTGGAATGGCCTGCCCGGGGAGGGGTGTGGAGTCCCATCCCTGGATGTGTTTAACAAGACCAGGAGGGGAAAATGTGGCACTCGGGGCCATGGTTTGGTTGATGAGGAGGTGTTGGGTCATAGGCTGGACTCGATGGTCCCAAAGGTCTTTTCCAGCCTGGCTCATCCTGTGAATGTCCAAAGCACAGTGTGCTGTGGACCGTGCGTGTTTCCTGCACCTGTGCTAGCAAATGTCACTGCTTGGAGGAGAGGAGAGTGGAGCAGGCTGATGCTAAAATAATTGACCATGCTTCTGGGCAGATTTAGCAGCTCAGGCACACGCTGATGGCACGTTTGGCCAGCAGCTCTGGGATTTGGCGCGTTTGGAAATCCCGGGATTGCCGAGAACCGCGCGCGGCGGCGAGGCGCTTCCCTCGCTGCGTGCCGTTCCTGCTGACTCCTTCCCCTGTCCTCCCCCCAGGTTGGCTCTTTCTTCATGATCAACCTGTGCCTGGTGGTGATCGCCACCCAATTTTCGGAGACCAAGCAGCGGGAGAACCAGCTGATGCAGGAGCAGCGGGCGCGCTACCTGTCCAACGACAGCACCATCGCCAGCTTCTCGGAGCCGGGCAGCTGCTACGAGGAGCTGCTCAAGTACATCTGCCACATCTTCAGGAAGGTGAAGAGAAGGACCATCCGCCTCTACAACAACTGGCAGAGCAAACGCCGCAAAAAGGTCAACCCCAACAGCGGCGGCGGGCAGAGCCAGCGCGGCAGGAGGAGAATCACCTCCATCCACCACCTGATCCACCACCACCACCACCACCACCACCACCACTACCACATCAGCAACGGGAGCCCGCGGGGGCCTCGCGCCAACCCCGAGCTCTGCGAGCTGGAGCTGCAGGTGATGAAGCCGGGCCGGCAGCTGACGCTGCCGCCGCCCGCCTCGCCCAGGCCGCCGGGCCCCGCCGTGCACAGCATCTACCACGCCGACTGCCACGTGGAGGGACCTCCCGGCGCCTGCAGGGCCACCAGCAGCCCGGCGGGCGGCAAAGCGGCCGGGCTGGGCGGCCACGGCAGCATGAACTACCCCACCATCCTGCCCTCCCCCGGTGGCAGGGGCGGCCCGGCGGCGCTGGCCAAAGGGAAGAGGAGCGGGAGCTCTCCGGTGGCCGCGGGGAGCAGCCCGGGGAACCTGGGCCTGGATTCCTACGGGAAGCTGCAGCAGCTGGTGGGAGAGCATGGTAAGGGCGACCGAGCTGGGGTTTTTTGGGAGGAGGGCAGATGGCTCAAGGTGGAGGTTTCAGTGGCGGCCCTGCACGGTGCTGAGGGTTGGGATGATGGGAGTGTGCTGGAGCCAGAGGTGGGACGGGTAAATCCTCGGATTTACCGTCATGGATGGTCCAGGCCACTGCTGGAGGCCTCTTTGGTGTGGTTGCAAAATCAGGGTTGGAGCTCTCGTGTGCTTTGTGATATCCTGGAGGTGCTCCTGCTCTTTCCACCCAAACCCTGGGATTAGACCTCCAGTGGATGCTGGAGCTCCAGCAGAGAGCCCCAGGGGCTGGGAGATGGTGCCTGGAGGAGGATGAGCAGGTGGAATCTGCAGGAGAAGCACTCGATAAAGCAAACAGACGTTTAAAACAGGCAGGAACCGAAAGAACTCAAACCAGACACTTCCAGTTCTTCTCTGATGGCCCCTGGAGCCTCTGACTCTCTTTTTGGCAAGGAGGAGCAGCAGTTTCAGTGCTCAGAGGACGTGTGGAGGGCAGGACAGGAGCAGAGCTGCACATCTCAGGCTTTCCCTGTGTGCAGAAGAAATGTGGAAGTGAGTTTTCCTGCAGATTTGGGGCTCCGTTCAATCTGAGGAGGGTTCGGGGAACTGTTCAGTGCTTCTGTCCCAACCTCAGTGCACAGATGCAGCCACCCCAGCACAGCCAGGGAGGTTTTATCTCCCCTCACATATAAATCACCCACTGGAGCAGTGATTACACGCAACACTTGGATTTCTATTTCATAAAATGTTTTTCCAGCCCTCGTGGCTGGAGCTAAAAGCTGCAAAATACTCTTAAGCCCTCCAACAGTGAAAAGTCACAAAGATCCAGCTTCTATTTTTTAATCTCTTTAAGCCAAACTCGTCATTTGGTTTTTTCAATGCCTGTGTTTTCCAAAACTGTTTGTTTGCGTCTGCATGGACACAAATATTTATCCTGGTGATGGATGTGCTGAAAAAATACCAAGCCTGGCTTGGGGGGGATCACAGGAAAGCTTGCTTGACAGAGAGTTCGGGAGCCTTGCCTTTGTTAATTTTGTTGTTTTTAAGGACCACACAAAAGGGTAAAAGTGGATTGTTTATAGAAACTGCCTCGGGCAGCCGCTTCCGAACGCTCGGGAGCTTGGCACGGGGGCAAGGTTACTGCCAACAGTTCTGTTGTTCAGCAAGGACTTTTTATAAATCACTGCTTCATCCTTAGCTCTGCCAATTAATGAAGGTTTTTAGGAGAATGAGTTTTTACCTTGAGATAAAAACCCAGGCTCTGCAGAAGGCTGGAACTGGGAAAGAAAGGAGCAGCAGAGCTGTTGCAGTCAGAGTTTGGATCCTCCTGCTTGCTGCTGGGGTCCTTTTTAGGAGAAGAAAGGCCCAAATCTCAGTCCCAACTGCGACATCCCCGAGCCAGCTCGGTGATTTAGGAGATTTTCCCGCAGCCTGGGGTGGTTCTTTGAAAGCTGGGATTAGATTGAGTTGTCATTAATAATGCAATTACAGTGTCCTCTTTCCACAGAGGGATTTCAGCCCAGAGGATGCCAAAATGCTTTAAACAAATCTCCTGGAATTGTTTTGTCTCTTCCAGAAGTGTGCTCACAGCTGGGAAGGGCTGGAAGGAGGGCAGAGGCTGCTCATCCATCCCCTGAGGGAAACGGGATGGGGAGGGATTCGGGGCAGACCTGGAGACCCTGTGAGCACCCAGCTCTTCCCTTCCATGGATCTGCCTCTTTCCAGGCCCTTCTTCCCACTCTGCCACTCCTGCAGGGCTGAGTCAGGGTCAGTTCTGCACCAGGAGTGATGGATGTGACTCCCAGGGG